CTGGGCAGTGACTGAAAGCATACGTTAGTGGATACCACAGGCTAAAAGCTCTTGTCAAAGCTTCCACACTACATCATATCTTTCCTTCATTTAAAGCTTGTGCACACAATCAAATAACTTCTTAATATTATATATAATGATTTCAGGTACTATTCACCTTTTATATGGTATGAACAGCAAACTTGGATTTTTTCATTTACCTCAGAAATGTTAAAGCTTTACTCTCTGATGTCTTTTATGACTCTTGTAATTGTTTTTACTTGGCACTTGATTGTTGGCTGTCTGGCTTTACATGTGCTTTTTTTGTATGCTCACTATGAATCTTGGTATCAGTAAGACTCCCCTGATAAAATAACTGAAAATAAATAAAATTAGTTAGCTTAGGTTGTCTGGGCTCCTCATTTGGGACAAGATGACGCTCTGCACCTTTGCATCACAAGTAGCCAGCTGAAATCATGTGGGTATCCGGTCTGGATGCCTCACAAACACCTGCCTGTGGAAGTATTCTGGGTTGCATTACTTATTTAGTGTACTACCCGGTGGTTCAACTTGGCCAGATGGGTAGCAGAATGAATGGATGGAAGATGTAGTCACTCACAAGCACAGAGATGTATATTTTTCTAAATGTAATTAGCCTTAAAGGATAGGTTCACATTTTGTGTCTTAAAACAACTGTTTGCAATAATGTCAAATTTTAACTGGAACAAAACTAATTCACGCACAAATGTAAGAAACACAAATCAGATACTACCAGATTCCCTGTCTGAGCAACACAAAGAACACTAAAGGGAATCAAGAGAAGGTGGAGGTTAATATTGAGGAAGTGTGTCTGTGATTTGGCTCTCACAAAAAAAGCAAGAGTTCCTCAGCTCCCCTCCTGGTCTGTGGTACAACTACAAAACACAGAGTCAGCTCTAACAGTAAACTGGAGAAACTGCACTCTGCCCCTAGTGAAAGATAGAGAACTGCACATTTGTTATACAACTCTGTACTCCTGCACTTTTACATTTATCGCTCATAAAACAAAGGAGACTGAGGCCAGCTGAGGCATGTATTTTTCAGACTATCACTCAAAGACTACAGGAGCTAGTATGTGAGCCAATAACAGGGTGAGGTACAAAATAGCTTGAAAAAACTAAAAAACTGCCATATTCTGTAGTTGATACAGTTCCAACAAAACTGAATAAGACAGAAGAGGATGTACCAAGTTCAAAAGTTTATGGCTCAGTCTCAACTTAAATATTAATAAATGTAAGGCTCCACTTTCTTTAATTTCGGCTCAACTATTTTAGTTAATACACTGTACACAAGCCATGTTTGCATAGGAGTGCAGGAAGGCCTTCAACTTTGCCAAGACAGAATTACTGGATTTAGTTGAGAGTAGATGTGTTATTAACACACATGGGCAGACCTGCTCCCCCACCTAACAGATCATGTCACAATAAGCTTCAGGAATTTTCAGCCAAAGGCTGACCTGAAAGTCAAGGCAAGCTAAGCGTTTTCATAAATAATCTTGTCCTCAGTTTCAGTTTTGTTGCTCTGAATAGCTGAGTGAATATGAACAGCTCTGAGAGAACACAGCAGACAAAAGATCGAAGGAAACTGTTGAGTGGCTGAAAGAAAAACTATGGTATGAGGGTATGAGACATTTTGGTTGGCTGGAGAGAGCAGGCCGATCAAATTTCTCTCAGTGAGGTGGGGAAAGCCTGTGAGAGTTATGCAATGTTGTTGGGATATGGAGCCAGAAGGGGTGTAAACAAAACCACTCTGAAGTGGGACAGGCCTAAGCGTTGCTTGGTAACAAATATTTTGGGCAGGAAGATCAGGCAAACATGGCCCGCCTTCCAAAAGGAAACAGGGGCTGGCCTCATGAGCACAGTGCAAGTTAGTGGCTTCCCGAAAATATGCTAAGAGACAGGGGGAAGCAAAACAAAGCACATGAAGGGCATTAGACAACACTGCGTCTATTTTTTACCTGACACGGCTATAGTCTAGACCACCACAAGTTGTAAACAAAAAAACTCTTAAGGAACAAATTAGTCTAGAGACAGGACTGCAGTCTCATTTAAACTCCATTATGTAGTTACTCTACTCTCTATGACTTGCAGAGTGATTTAGGTATATATAACCCATAAAGAAACCTTAAAACAAGCTGTAATGCTGATTCACTGATATCCAAATGATGATGTTGCAATACCCACTATTAAATTTACTTTACAAGCTGCAACCATTAGTTGATTGACAGTAAATTAATCTGCAATATCAAAATCGTGTTAGTCATTTTTTAAGGAACAACACCAAACATTGGTTGCTTCAGCTTCCCCAATTTTTTCAAACATCATTGTAAAGTGAATAATTTGGGGTTTTAGAGAGTTGATTTAACGTAGCCTACTAACACATCGGTAAAAGTTACCTTGAAATATGGGAGTCATGACAGATATTTTATTAATCGACTCAAACAATCTGCAGATAATTGATTATGGAAATAACTTAATTCTCAAACTGTTACAACTGTTTCATACATTTTAAGCGTCTTAAGGTTCTATAGTTCATTATTATGGAGATGACCAATGATTCCCTGAAAGCAGTAGCCTAGTGATACTGTTAAAATTATCCTTTTGAAATAAAGTACATCTAATTGAATCAAATTCAGTGTAACAAAAGGTCTGAGAAAACTGCAGAATTAAGAAAACAATTACTGCCCACCTTTTCTACAAAATATCAGCTTCTATAGACACTTGTCCGTGGAAAATGTTTCACTTACTCGTGTTGTCTGACGCTGAATCGGTTTATGACCTTAAATAAAAATTATTTGTCCTGGGTTCCGCTTGTTACCTACGCATTTTCAACACAATGATTAATCACAAGATGTATACATTTATGTATTATGCGTTGCGAAGCGAGTGCATATTTGCATTTTACAGATTACGACTTGGACATGGGACAACATGCGAGTTTGAAAAACGTTAACAACGTTAATTTCACTGTCCCTGTAACCACCAGACGTTACAACGCGCAAAACAACAGTCGCTGACGGTTAAAACTGCGCTAAAACAACAACAATCGCTGTAGCATAGTTGGAGTTGCTGCTGGTCTCTGCACAGAAAGAATCCGGAAGCCATGTTGTGTGCTGCTGCTGTCTGTCACTCAGAGCCGGTTACCACAGAAACCGGTTGCTAGGCGGCATAACAAAAAAGACAAATTTATACGTCCTTGCGTCAGAGGCAACGGCGTATCCAAGGCGACAGAACGCTACACACACACGCATCAGACCTGTGGATATGGCACATGGTGTCTGCCTCTGGTTTTAACCTAAATATCTCCTTTTAACGTGGTACTACTGGCTATTTGTGATATTTTGAACAGCTTTAAGAAAGAAAACGTGTCGCCTGCGTAATCCATTACATTTATCAGCATTCATAGCTAAAACTTAGTCAGTAGTTATCTCCGTAATTTCTTGCCCTCACACCGTCGTCCTGCTGTTATCGGTGATTCTCGTTATTTCCCCTTGAATGTAGGCTGTTCGCCTGCGTTATCAGCCATTCACCTCAAAAATTCCCCATCATGAACAACTTGTATCGACGGAGTTAGTCATCCCGGTTCAGCAGCACAAACACCGGTAACGGCAGCTCGAATGGGACACGGCGTCCTCCGTGGATCCTCGTCTCTGACGTTGTTGTAGCGCTGACTAATAACTTGTTATCCCCAGCTCTTCCCTTTTTACTCACGCCTTTTCGCACAACGGCTGTAGCTGTAGCCCTTACACAGCAGCATGCCCGCCTCGTGACATTGTTTGACATCACAAGCTCAAAACGTAGGCCTTGTATTTTAGATTTTCTTTCATGATTTGCCACCCGATTTTCCCGCATTTAGCCTGTGGAGCAAACCCCCAAGCCAACCTCCCACCTGCCACACTGGTGTCCGCATGTAGGCTACAATAATGAATCACTTTCTGTTCGCTGATGTTTGCGATGACAGACGCTGATTTCCGTCACTGCTGCCCACTGTCCATGTCAGAAACAGAATCACACTTCTGTTTACCAATTTATGTTTCTCTTTTGTGCTCAATGGGGCTGCTGCCGGTGTGCTCTGTGACAGAGTCCTGCCTCCACTCAAATCCATAGATATGTAAATCTAACAATCTAACTAAACTATTGGGCGGATTCTGTATACAGTTTGAGGGTATTTCTCAACTTCCATTAGATTCACACTTGTCACCGTGCCTGACTTCAGGTTTCTGACACAGATGAAAAGGAGGCTTTCCCCCTTTAGACGTTAAGCTCTGAAGCTCCAAGGACTCCCGAGGGCGTGTCCTGAGAAAGTTTTCAGCAGGATTTCCCTTGCATGCCTGACGGGATTCCGTCCTGGAGTGACATAGATCTCTGGGTGTTGCATAAAAAAGCCATTGTATATTCTCTGATGTGTTTCAGAAGATATACATGATATTTAGACAAACTACAGTGGCTATAGAATGTTGTGTTTTCTGTTTATCTATAGATAATAGCTAAAAATCATGTTGAAGTCCATATATGTGCTTATGATTTCAGTTTAACTGAACACAACAACACTCCACAAATGCTTACACATGGGACTGTAGATATTATAGGAATATTATAATGCCTTCTCTTGACGTAGCCATGACCCAATGTTCCAATCCAAATATACGCCTATAGATAGTCCTAAATAGATACTTTCCATATTTATCACTCTGAAGTTTCATGAAATTTCCTTTCAGAAATTGTCAGACGGTGAGAAATATCTCGTGCCTGTGATTGTATAAAAAAAAATCTATTATTACCCGTCGGCGAGGTGAGCTTCTGGTCCATTTCAGTGGGAGAGGGATTCCCTCAACGTCACCAAGGAGACCAAACACAACACCAAGGCACAAATATGGGCATGTACGTCATCAGCGGAACTCCGAGGCGGGACTTAGACGATAGAAATGCCTTGTTTGTACCTCGAGGAGGATCGATTCATTCATACGACAAGATCTGCTACTGTGCACCGTAATAACAGCTAACGTCCTCCGGCGTACCGTGGACGGACTTCATGGATCTATAATCGAATATTTGACATTCGGATAAAGGAGAGCGTTAGAAGGATTTAAAGCTAAACGAGAGGACTTCTTAACAGAAAAATTGGGACACTTCCCCCTAAACGCGGGGAACTGGATTAAGCTTCTTCATGCAACTTTTTTGGAAAGAAACCAAGAGCATATCAGTGGGGAATAATAAGAAGATCAGCAACGGTAAGTGTCTTTATTTGGACGATATACAGTAGCCTACGGCGTGTTTGAAGTAAATATTTGCTTTAAGAATAGCGTTTTTGAGTGGGTCGGGAACATCTGTCTACCGCTGTCAGTCAGTCTATACTTATAGACATACACATCGTTCCCTGCGGAAGTTGCTTCCACAAACGCTCTGCTGTAGAGTTTTCTTCAATGATCAATGATGGCGGGATTGTCCAACTTTCAACCATTATCAAAGTAATTCTCTGGGTTTTGTTAACTGCATTGCCCATAACGTCAGTCATTCTCTCCCCACAGTACCTCTCCTTTAGTAATCTTCTTGTGTGTGCCGCTGCCCTGCCGCTGCAGGTGACATCGCGCTCTCTCCGGTAACTGCAGGTGTCTCGTTCTCTCTCGGTCCCTGCGGGGAGATGTACCAAGGGTTCCCCGGCGACCCCGACAGCGGATCCCGTGGAAGCTCGTCTCCATCCATAGAGTCCCAGTGCCTTTCCTCCGTGGACTCCTTCGGGAGCCCGCCGACCACCAGTGCTCCGCAGGTATGATAGAGTCAAGAGACTATCAATGCAATATAATGCATGGTAGCAAATGTTAGATGCTGATGTTAAATGTTGTTTTAAAAATAAGCGAATGTTACAGCTGTTCCTTAGTTTATTTATTTATAAATGCAACAAGTTTGACTTATGTTCCTATATGCACTGATGGACCTGTGCTACCTATGGATCTATGGGACTAATTAGGGTATGTGCTTCTGCTAACATGTTTCCAAATAGATAAACTGCACGTTGTGATATGTATGGTCTATACATTATAGATATTAATATAGAAATGTAATTTTCTTACGTATTCAGTTTCATATGCTATTGTTGCATACGGTATTGTATTTGATAGCTTATCTCCCAGAATGGGTTTTGTTTTGTTGACAATGTGCTGCTATGGTTGTACCATACAGACATGTAAGCTAATCTGAGATCTGCATGAAAAGTGGCAATGAATCGTAAAAAAAGAAAAAAAAAGAAAACCGAAGCTAAGCTATATACACGGCGTTGTAATTGTACAATATATATGACCTAGGCTCTTAATGGGACTTTTTGTCCTTTATTTGAATTGGACATTGGTGGTGTTATTAATGGAAAGCACGTATAGGAACCCACTAAGCGTGTACTACCGTGTTCCTGCAGTCAGATATAAATAGTTACGCTAATGTATACCAAGGATTCGATAGAAGTTTATGTGTTGCCTGTAGTATCCCTGGTAGCGGCTCTCAAGCTTTGACAACGTGCTCGGTTTACAGCACGCCGCAAAACGGATGACAGCGTTCTGGAACTCTCCTACGTAAGCGCTGAAGCCCTGCCCCTCCTTCCACGCTCTCCGTTCTCCTCTCACAGGCCTCGCCGTGACGTAAATGCTCGTTCTATTTTGGAGTGCTACGTCGCGTTGCCAAGGGGAACACCGGGGGTGTGACGGGGGAGGAGGAAGAAGGAGAGGGGAGACGCTAATTGAGAGAAACGATTGGTCGAGGTGGCTGCTTTCAGAGCCGCCTGTCCCAGTCTCTTAACACGCTTTTGTATGAATATAAATTGAAGTCGACGCAGTCCTCCTCGGGTCTAAAATGAAACAAAATAGACAAGCGACAGATTTGGGCTTTTTATATGTCCTAAACTGACATAGAAATCAAGTAACACAGTATCAAAACGAGTGAATTAGAAATCAAGACTTAATGCCTATTATTTTTTCCTTGTCTTTACTCCTCTAATTATGTTGTTGATAGTTGGATACGCTGCGTTTTTTTCCACACTTTAAAAGATATGTATTTGTTCCAGCACTATACTGAAGCTGTATAACACTTACATTAAGTTAAAAGAAAAGGCTTTATTTTAAATCCCCATATTTAGCATTTCTAGACATTATAGTCATTTAAGAAATGATTCAAAACACACTGTATTGTAGTGGTGCAGATATAAGTGTTTGTCATTACCGACAATGTAGTAAAACATAGCTGTGATTATGTAAAATATGTCCTATTGAAGACGTTATGATTGTTGTTGAATATTGTACTTGCTTACTGTACACTTATACCTGCTTAAAACTATATTATAGTGTGTTATACACCATTTATTAAATGTTTGTATATCTTATAAATGCTAAATAGGGGGACTTAAAGTAAACTGATACCACTTAAAATTACATTTTTATTCCTGAACCATTTTGCCATGTCATGCCATGTATCTTTACTAGAATTTTAAATATTTTACAATTTAAAGTAGGATCTTGGTTAGAATTTCTATACAGTGCATCTTTAATAATGCAGGAATAACCTAGTTCCTCTGGGTATTTCTGCCCCTGTCTCTCTAAATGTGTTCACTGACTTACAGTGGTTTTACATGGTGTGTTAAACTCTACTTGTTAATGCGCAGGAGTGTGTGTCAGCGGGAGCTGGCTTGAGCATTGTGGGCAGCGGGCTAGGGGCCAGTATTGGAGGGGAGATGCCCGGTTCATTTGTACCCACCGTCACCGCCATCACCACCAGTCAGGACCTGCAGTGGATGGTGCAGCCGACCCTCATCTCTTCCCAGGCCTCTGGTCAGAGTGGGTCCACTGGCACTACAACCATGACCCAGCCAGTTTCACTGGTTGACCCATATGACATGCCAGGCCCCAGTTATTCTTCAAGGTCTGGATTCACTCCTCCAAGTTCAGATACTCCAGGCCCAGCACCGGGCCCTATCCGCCAGCCCAGAACCCGCAGCCGCCGTTCACGAGACGAGTCTGTGAGTGACGATGGAGATGTTGGTGTGTTAGTAAGTGTGTGTGCTTGAACGGTTTGTTTGTTGACCCTTGTATGTTACACATGAAATGTAGGTTTATGCAATGTTAAGCAGTGGTGTGTACAAACACTTTCAGATGCATGAACATTGAACAAAAAAGGGCACCTCCCTGTCTGCTGTAGGCGGTTGTCACAAAACCTATTAAACAGGGATTAAATGGGGACAGTGTGGAGGGTTATGTGGGAGGATAATCTGCCAAATGTGACTTATTTTTGGAATAATTGGTGTCATTTAGGGTAATTATTCCTTAGCTAGATAAAAGATAGCCTACCGCCAGAACATGAGGGAAAAGTTACATTTTTTCTTTGTAAAAGGGTAAAAGACAACAGCTGGTGTAGTCATCCTGCCTGCTCCATTTAATTTCCCCACCATTGCCCATTAATACAATATAACTACATTTTCAAGAACAATCACAAAATTTTTGCCCTAATCCATTTTATTTTTTCTCTTCATCCTAGCTAACACCTGAGGAGGAGGAGAAGAGGCGTGTTCGTCGAGAGAGAAACAAACTGGCGGCCGCCAAATGTAGAAACCGCCGACGAGAACTCACAGACAGACTGCAGTCGGTGAGCTTGGCCTTGTTATAGCTGCAAGAATGAGCAATGATCATAATTACATACATTAAGTTACCTTGCATAGCATTTCAGAGTGTGTTAATAACTGTCTGCATGTGTTGTAAAAAAAAAAAGAGGATTGTGGTAAGTGAAGACAATTACAGTCCTCAAGACAGACTATTGGACCTACAGTATTTATGGCTTAATTAACAAGCTCCTACAGAAGCCACCTTACATATACAGCTGCAGATGAGGAAGGCATTTTCTACTGGGGTGGGCACATCCACCTTCACAAACGTGAAGGCGTAGCTAACTCTCCTGTCCTCTCTCTTTCCTCTGCACATCCTCTTCCCTCCTCTACTCATTTACCCACCTTTATCTTGCTCCCCTGCCCCTTTGCCCCTGCTTCTTCCATTCTCTGTACCTGCCCACAGGAGACAGACATACTGGAGGAGGAGAAGGCGGAGCTGGAGGCTGAGATCTCGGAGCTGCAGAAGGAGAAGGAGCGCCTGGAGTTTGTCCTGGTGGCCCACCAGCCGAACTGTAAGATCCCATATCAGGACCAGCTTCAGCAGGGCTCAGCGCAGCTCCCTCCTGTCCAGTCCCAGCTAGCTCCCCAGACCTTACAACCTCCCGTCTCCATTGTGGGCTTGGCTGTGAAGGAAGACTCTTTCTATCTGCCTCCTGCCTACACAGCTCATCCGGCCTCCACACAGTCCCAGCCTCCGGTTCAGCAGCAGCAAGTCCAGCAGCAGCCTCAGCCAGGGATAATGCAGGAGGTAGAGTTTTCTAGTTCTTTCTATGGCTCAAGTGAGCCGGCATCTGGCGGGCCGTGCCTTATGGCCAGCGACAGTGGTGGTGGTGGTGGTAACCATGACGATGCGGCCATTGGCAGCTACAACACCTCATACACATCTTCATTTGTGTTCACCTACCCAGAGGGAGCCTGCGGGGTCAGTGCCAACCAGCGGAACAGCAGTAGCGAGCAGTCATCTGATTCCCTGAACTCGCCCTCTCTGCTGGCGCTCTGACTGACCGACAGACACATGCGCACACATTTTAACACGCACATACATTATGCTCGCTGGAAGTAAAGGCTGAGGCAAGTACATGCACAGTGCCAATCAGTCTCACAGATTGAGACAAAAAAAAAACAAAAAAACAACCAATCATTTGTATGTGATTGTGTTGAAGTTTGCACATTCTGAAATGCATTCCAAATAAGAGCCAAACAAACCCTTAAGATTGTAACATTGGGCTTAAACAACAAACAAATTCTTGTTTTGTATTATCAAGTACCTGCAACTGGACAAGATAAGTGAATAGCCCAAGTCCAAGTTGCCGGTTTTAAGTGCTCTGAATTAACAGATTAATTCACATTGAATACTCTCAATCTTCAACATGTACAGTACATTGATACCATAAACTCACTTTACACTCCAACAAGCACCAGTGCCCCCACCTTGTTCCCTCTGTCGGTTGCCCCTTTTCCAGTGCTCTTGCTCTCATCCTTTTCCATCCTTTTCTCCCTTCTTCCTTTTGCTGAATGTATTTGTGCCGATCTGAAATAGGGACGAAGGACACTTTGTGCAGGGTCTTTTCTTGTGGGAGACAGACTGCTGATGTCTCGCTCACCTCTAACTCTTCATCTGCTTGACTTCCCTCTGCTTCTTCATTTGCTGCTTGGACTTGGCAAGTTGAGGATCTGTGCTTCTTTTCGTTTTAAAAAATTCTTCTGCCGTCTGCCTACCTGCCATGCGACCCATCTCTACCCATCTCTGTTTCTCCTCTTCTGTCTCTGTGTTTCTCCCTCTCTGAAGTCTTCAACCTCCGAGAGCCCGAAGACCCCCTCCAGCCCTTGGGACCTTGAGTGAATGCCGGCCCAACTAACACGTCCTTTTGCACCCTTTGATACAAGGACATGGACGCAACCCCCCAATACAGAAGAACCTTTATCTTGGAGCGCATTGCTCAAAGAGGATCCTTACAGTGAACAGCAGCTAAATACTTTTAACACATGCACATAGACGTGTAATTGATGAACCCAAAACTCAAGACGGATGCCACTGTCTTCTGCTGAGCCATGTTTTGATGTTCACACGATGAAGATTAGACACATCTTATGTTGTGAGGAGGGTTAAAAGTGAGGATGGAGAGAGATTTTAGCGGGAAGGGAGAAAGGATGTGCAAGCAAGCTGGACAGACACAAATGGAGAGGTGATGGACAGAGGATAACTCCCATCCTAACCATTGATTTTTGGAACCAAATGTAAGAGCCAAATGTTAAAAAACAAAGCAAAAAAAGAAAGAGAAAACAATCCTGCTCTTGCCAACTGTGTGGAAGGGTGACCTCAGTAAAAACACCTCCATACCGCAGAGCCTCATCACCCTGGGCCTACATGCTCATATTCACACCATCGCTTTCAAGTCTCTGAACTGAAGATACAGACGTTTTGTTGCATCGCACCAGCGAGTGTTGCTCAGAATCAATCAGATGTGAACCGATGCCTTTATTTAGAGGAGAGACATTTTTGTAGTGATTCAGACAACCTCTAAGCATTGGGCTCAGGGGTCTCTGTACCTCCCCTTTTCTCTCAGCGGAGACGAGGCGGGGGTGCATTTATTGTGAGTGTGTCCACTCCGAGGCACCTGGCCCGTTTATTTCTTTCTTTATTGAGGTTGATGTGGTGAGAGAGCACAAAGCAAGACCTGGAAACAAAAAGGGGAGAACACGTGGGCTGATGTTGTGGAGTGAGCGTCCTTTCTTTGCCTGTGAATTTGTACAATTTGTTTTTCCTGTATGTTTGAGTGAGAATTGTTATATATTTTAATGTTTATGTTTGTTTGTGTGTTCGATTGTTCTGCAATGACCTCTGCTTTCTCTTGTACTGTTGCCATTTCTTGTTTTTTATCTTATTTTATTTTATTTTATTTCTTTTTTACTTTTCGTTTTGTTTGTTTTTTTATCAGGAGATTTCCTCATAACTGTTACTATTATTATTGCATTGTAAGTATTGTTTCATTATTTTATTGTATTTTCATTTGGCAACTTCAGAGGCATGTTGTGCACTACAAAAAAATCTAATTATAAATCTATATGCATATACATATATACAGGTAACATGTATATATAAGTGTATGTACCATGATTGTAAAGTATGAATGTCTGCAAATCTAAATGGGATATTTTTGTCAATGAAGAACAAGATAAAATGTTACTGAGGTTTAGTTTTAAAATGAATATTTTTCTAAAGGAACAAAAAAAAAAAAAACTATATTCAATTTAAAGTACTGCCCTGTCCCTCAACATGAAGCACGATGTCACTGCCTCTATCAATGTGTATTTATGTTTTATAAACAATATAAAGCACTATCCAGTTACATTAAATGTATGTTTATAATTATGATGTTAGAAGGTTGTGGTAACGCCTTTGTTTTGTTTGTTTGTTTTTTCTCTGTGAGGTCTGTCCCAAAGCTACTGACACCTAATGCCACTTGATCTTTCGCAGATGCAAAATGAGGAAAAAAAAAGGTGTGATTGAATGTCAATACACATATTAAAAGTGTTCGGACTACGTCATGATGACTAAACTGTTTCATTTAAGGACAAAGTATTTCATACCCAGTATGCATTTCTGTCCAGTATAAACATATCACTCAATAACATTGTTATTTCCTAACTGAAATGTGTGTTTTGAAGGATAACTGCAGCTTTAGCCTTGATATAAACATTATCATGTTAAAGATTTTCCTTTCTTGTACTCAAGCAAGTTGTCTAAATTAGTTTTAAAAAACTTATTGTGATTGTATTTGCTGGATAAGAGGCTTTATTTTCCATAAATAAACATGTTTATTCAAAGCATTGGCTAGATTAATGGTATAAATCTTTGTTCAAGTGTGGCTCTTGGTGGTCAGAAAGTGGGCAGACCTCATTTTTTAAACGTTGAATAAGGACTGTGTTTGTACAGATGTTGGAGATGCCTTTTGATTTCTCTCCAAATGCAAATGTGATGAGAATATGTTCTGGTGTGAGAATAAGCATAAAACATATTCAATAGTTCTCATGTATATAGGTTTTTGTGGTGCTACTTATAGTATACTATAATGACGAGGCAGTTTCACATTGTATGGTGGAAGGTGACACAATGCTGTTGCAGAGGCTCCAGACAATTGAACACGCTGCTTGTCTCATCAGGACGTTTTATTCTGAAAGGAAGCCAATAACAGTGAATTCCCTAGAGCTGAAGCTCTGAGAGCCCAGTAATTACTCTGTGATTTCATCATAGTTTAATATCAACTGCCTGCTACATCTTTAAGTGTGCTAAACAGATCTCAGAGGGCCCTTGTACTGTACCTGCACTCGACACGTATGCCCCTGATCACCACACAACATATTAGACTCATTCTTTCATCCAATTCCTTTGCCTTGGATTTAATTGAAGTTCTCTGAAATTGCTTTAAATCTTTTTTTTCTGTAAGGTTGCAATCGTAACTGAGTGGATAATGAATTGGAAAAGGGGACAAAGAAGGAAAAGGAGAACTATTGAGCTACCAGTTATAAGACAAAGAAACTGTCTGCACCTACCTGTACTGTACAATGGCTATGTCAGCATTAACTGAACAAGAGCTTTCCTATTTTTCTATAAGGTGAATGTTGCTATGTATTTCTATTTTTCCACAAGTCCCATATATGCTCTGATTTCATATTTTCCCTGGTATGACATGCAATACTTATTATCCTCTTGGATAAACATAATGTAGCAAATCATGCAGTGATCAAACTGACTGCTACTATATGTCAAGTGTGATGATGTATTGCTTTAATTATCCATTTTTGTTACAATATTAAAAGTTATCATTAATACTTAATATTCAGTTTTGAGACAATCTCCAAAAATTGTGTTACAATTTATCTAAATTTATTTTTTTTTTTCAGTCATTGATAACTTGCAAGGTTCCTCTATGTTAAAAAGTCATTGCTGTTATTACAAAACATTCCTTTTCTCAATGTTTCATCCATTTTTTTCTGGGAGCAAATGTCTCAATTTTGTCACATTTGGAAACAGAGGACATATGAGTTGATATATTTGGAGGTCAGAGCAGTGAAGGTCCTTGTTCTAGATGTAACATTGTCGGACTTAGATGACACGTGTCATTTATAATCACATAACTAGTTTATGAAGGTGCTCTGATATCAAATTGTCTATTTTTTCAGTGCATAAAATTGAACATAATTTACTGGTTTTCTACAATTCACTATAATGTACTGTTTATTAGTTTTCTTCATTTTACCTTGTTTTTACTCCTGAAGAGGACCAAAGTGTATGACATAGTTGCCGTGTCGCTTTTGCAGTCCCTGCTTCTGATCTCTGTCCATATTTCAGCTTCTGCCCCTTTTTGCTGTCCTATAAAACTTCATATGACAAAGTTTTCTTTCTCAGTTTCTAGACTGCAAAAGCTGGGTGAGCTGTCTCCTTTAATGATAGTTTGACCAAATGCTATTCATTTCCAATTTGTGAAGAAATTACATAAATAAACAACATATTCTAAGGTGCATATGCCTTGTTTTTAAATGCTTGACCTTCACCAGTCTGTTTGACCTATGCATCATTTTTTGCAAATGTATTCTTTTTTAAAGATACCATCTTTGTTATATTAATAGTCCAACCAAAATGATTTACAATTACATAGCCTAAAACAGAGAAAGGCACAATTGATGAAACCAGAGAACATTTGATATTTTTGCTTGAAAAATTACTGAAACAAATCAGTTAAAGCGATCAGTTAATTTCCTGTCATGTTAGATTTTTTACTTAGCATTACAATCCCTGAACAACAAATGAGGGCAGAACTTATTTTTATGCAAATTTCAGGCTTTTCACGCATTTAAGTGGCTATAATCAATATTTTATTTCGATAATGGCTCATTCATTATGATTGTATGTGAAAAGAGTGATTGTAATGAACCAACAGAGATTTTTTTATAGTGTCTTCTACCTCATTGTTTTGGTTTTACGGCCCACACTTTTATTTTTATTCTGTCACAGTATGCTACCTGCCCAGCAACAAACAGCAGGTGGACAAAATTAGGAGCTAGCTGGTAAATATGATGGATCATAGTGGCCAACGAACCAGATATTTCCCTCAGGAATTGGGACAGACCAAAACAGAGTGAATATTAGATTTACATTCTTCAGGTGGCCAAAAACATGACTCTAATAACAAGGTTGCCATGTCATCTTTGTTAAGTGACTGACGATAGTGTTGTGTTCAGATCACTTCCTTTTCCCAGTGGTCAAAAAATAGTTATGGCAGACATGGGCAGATTAACCTCCTAGGGGCAGGCACGGATTAAGAATGCGAAGGCCCCTGGGCACAAAATCTTGGAGGCCCCTCGCCCCCAATCTGCTCTTCTCACACTTGCAATCCAAGGTTTTCAATTACCGGTCCTCAGCAGAGGCTGTTATCTGTGGGAAACACCTGTAGCTTATTCGGGATTTACACTGACAGTCCATAGTTTATGATCACAACCTGAAGGAAAATGTCATCAGCTGTAGATATATTCTATCATACAGGATTTACGATACATGATTGTAACAATACTTTCCTGGGCCAGAAGCAACAATATCAGTGTATTAGTCAACAATGTGCAGCTGAATGGGATAGGCTACACAAATACAAACTGCCCACCTCCACCAATACAGTTCTATGATTCAGATCACACACACACACACACACACACACACATATGGTATTGTATCAATGATATAATAGTCAAATGTTTTCCAAAACCAACCAGTGTCAACTAGTTCTTATTGTATTAACACAACACCTTGGAGAGAAGAATTCAAATAGAATATAGGATACTCCATAATGTATGAATAATAAGATGAGAGAAACGTCCCTGATCTGACGGTCTTCTTTCTAGCTTTTCTCCTCAAAAACTCCTGCACTGTTATTAAAGTCCAGGTCTCTGAGGAGTTCTGACTCTGTTGACAGCATTGATAAAGAGTTCAAGCATTGTTGCCTCATAATTGCTCTCAGTTCATTTTTAATTTTCACAATGAAGGAAAATATGTAGAAAGTAATAAATTGTGGCTCTTCTAAGCTGGTAACCTGAAGATAGATGTTATGTCTGTTCAAAGAACAGTTTCTCTGATATAATTTTCTATTGTGGCCATTCTCTTTGCTGCTCCACCGCTCCCACGTTTGTTTTCCATGATGTTGTGAAAAGCTCTCTGTGAGAAGCCTATATAATAGTATTTCAACATACACACATTCAATTAATTCACGTGATTTGATCAACAAAAAAAAAACAGCATGAGGCCACGGTTGATGGGGGTTTAGACCATAGACCACCACCAGAAAGCAACTAACCACAGACTAAAATACTGACGACCTTAAACCAAAACAGCAACAATAAAAATTGAAACACACAAGATTGAGCAATGAAGGAAATCGGCAGATATTGCTCTTTAGTGGTCATAACTCATGAGGAGAACAACCAGGGATATAACGTGAATCTACCTACTTTTAAACGCACAGAATAAGGAATAAAGTGATCGGTCTGTGTCGCTCTCTAGCGTCCAAAAATAAAAAATATCACCGGAACTTTTTTCCCTCGCTTTCCGGCTCTGGCGGATGTTGCGTCACGGAAGCAGATGAAACCGTTTGTTGTAAACATGGCGTCCGTGACAACAGGTGAGAGCATAAAGGCCCGGTTTGCCGACCTTACCATTTGACAATAGTTAAATTATTTATGAGTTTCACTGTTAGATTTGGTCACTGCTTGATTTCGGAACACTATTTTACAGCCGAATCAGCTTACAGTGGACGCTGCAGATGGCTGGTAGCGCCTTTTAATTCATGGCTGTAGCTGCGGCTAAGGCAATGCTAGTGCAGAATGCTAACACTAACGGTGCTAACACATAGCTACCTTTAACTTCTAAAAGCAAATCGTCAAGGGA